CGGCGGCGGCAGGGCAGCATACGCCTGCTGAGGATCGGACAGCAGCGCTCTGCCTGCGGCCGGCGCCAGCGCCGCCAGTTGCTGCGCCAGCAGGCTGGGCCCTGGGCGGGGGTCGGGCCCTCCTCCGCCCAGCTGCTGCAGCAGCGCCGGCAGGGCTGCCGGCGCCAGGCTGTGCTGCATCGCGTGCAGTGCGGCCACGGCAGCAGCGCCAGGGCCGCCGCCCGCTGGCGGCTGTTGCAGGAGGGGCAGGCACGGCGGGAGGCGCGGGCTGCTCCCATCGCCGCTGCCGGTTTCCGCATCGGTCCCTTGGTTGGCAGCTCCCCGCGCCGCGCCTGCAGCCACCCCGGGCGGCAGCTGCGCCGCCTTGCGTGCAAACGCCTCCAGCACGGCCGCCCCCCGCCGCACCTGCTGCTGCGCCTGCTGCTGGCCGGCGGCGGCGGCGCCGCCGCCGCCGGCGTCAGCCTTGGCGGCCGCCGCCTGCTGGCGCAGTAGGGCCACCGCCCAGTGGCTGCTGCCGTGCTGCCCCTCCACCCTGCCCAGCCACTGCTGCGGGCCGTCGCCCGGCGCCGCCAGTAGCTGCGCCGCCAGCGCCAGCTGCCCCGCCAGTGCCTGCCGCGCCGCCTGCTGCTGCGCGGCCTGCTGCAGCCGCCACAGCCCGCCGGTCAGCATGGGCAGCAGCTTGGCCGCAATGTCGGAGGCGGCCAGGCTGCCCCCGTGGGCGGACAGCAGGGCAAACAGCAGCGGCGGGGGCACGCCGGAGCGGCGCTGCCACCCCTGCTGCGCCGCCGCCAGCGCGTCCGCCAGCGCCGGGGCGGCCGCCGGCCCGCCGCCGCCGCCGCCACCACCCGTGGCCGCTCGCACCGCCGCTGCCACCGCACGCTGCAGCAGGTTGAGGCAGGTGGCCAGTAGGGACAGCACCTCCCGGTGACCACAGCATGCCCTCAGCGCCGCCAGCGCCGCCAGCAGCCAGCCGGCGGCGGGGCTGCCGCCCGCGGCGGGCGCCGGGGCGGGCGAGGCTCTGGCGGGCGGGGAGGCGCGGGCGCCGCCGCCACCGCCGCCGTCTGTGCTGGCCAGAAACGCCTTGGCTGCCGCCAGCAGCACGTGTGCTGTGTGGCGCTGCTGCCAGGGCTGCAGGCGCTGCACCCGCAGCAGCAGCGGCTCGAGGGCAGGTGCAGGGCCGCCGGCGTCTGCTGCTGCCGGCGCCGGCGCTTTGCCTGCTTGCGGTGGCGCCGCCGCAAAGCCCAGCAGCGCCAGCAGCTGCTGCTGCAGGCGGTGCAGAGCGGGGTCGCGCCACCGCTGCTGCGGCAGCCCCTGCCGCGGCTGCCGGCCAGCTGCCTCCCCGTCGCTGCCGCCGCTGGTGCTGCTGGCCGGGTGGCGGCTGGGCGCCAGCAGCAGGCGCTCCCATTCCGCCGCCTCCTCGGCTGCAGCTGCCGCATCTGCCTCCCACGCGGCGCCGCCCCATCCTTCTACCGCCGCCACGCCGCACCGAGCCAGCAACGCCTGCCTGGCTGCCGCATAGCGCAGCCTGGGCAGCGGCCACGCCTGGCCGGTGGCGGTGCCAGAGCCGCCGGCGGCCGGCCCGGCGGCGGGCGCCAGGGTGGGGCAGTCCAGTAGCGGGTGCAGCTGCTGCAGCAGCTCCAAGGGAAGGCACCCAGCAGCCCTGCCGGCCGCGCCGCCGGCGCCGCCGGGCGAGCCGGCCGTCGGCTGCTGCTGCAGCGGGAAGGCCCCCGCCGCCAGGCAGCTCCGCAGGTAGGCTGCCGGGCAGAACAGCCCCGCCTCCGCCAGCAGCAGGGCCAGGTGCAGCAGGCGCTGGCGCTGCCAGCGCCGCTGCAGCGGCTGCGCCGCGGCGGCGCCCGCCAGCCACGCCTGCAGCGCGGCCTGCAGCGGCGGCGCGCCGCCGCCACTGCCCGCTGGCTGTGCCTGCTGCCGCTGGCTGGCGAGGTCTGTTGCCAGGGCTTGCAGCAGAGCCAAGCCATACAGCACCCGCTCCGGCACCAGGGCCGAGGCACCAGCCTGCTGCTCCTGCTCCTGCTCCTGCTGCTCCTGCTGCTGCTGTTGCTCCTGCTCCGCCTCGTCCCCTGCCTGCCCCGCTGCGTGCAGCGCCAGCGCAGCGCCGAAATCGGCGGCGGGGGCCGCCGCCGCCCACTCGCACACCACCCTCGCAGCCTGCGCCACGCCCGCCGCCGCCGCCTCTGCCTCCGCCTCCGCCCCTGCCGACCCTCCGGGCTGCACAGACACCAGCTTGAGCAGCGCCGCCACGGCCGCCGCCGCGCCGCTCCCCGCCTGCAGCTGCTCATCAAGCAGCTGCGCCGCCTTGCCGTCATGCCAGTGCAGCACCCTGCAGGCAGGCGGGGAGCAGGGTGGGCTCGCCAGGCAGGCAGCAAAGGCCTGCCTTGCTCTTGCTCTTCCAAAGGAAGCCGGCACGCAGGAGGCACGCCGCCGCAGCCAGTCCCCGCCTCCCCGCCGCTCACCGGGCGTGCAGGGCGGTCGACAGCCGCCTGCGTGCGGCGGCGACCCAGCCGGCCGCCCGCGCTTGCGTGCCGCCGCCGCCGCCGCCCGCGGGCCGCTGCAGCGGCCCCAGCAGCGCCTCATCTGCCGACACAAATGCGGCGGGGTGCAGGGCAAGCACCTGCTCCGCGGCCTGCAGCAGCACCCGATGCAGCTCCTCGGCCTCTCGCTGCTGCCGCAGGTGCTGCCGCTGGCGCCACCCGCGCTGCGCCCCCTGCCCCTGCCCCTGCCCCTGCCCCTGCTGGGGCCCCGCCGCCGCCCCCGCGGCCGCGGCGGCGGCAGCCGCGGCCTGCGCGTCGGCGGCGGCCGCCTCGCCGCCCTTCAGCAGCAGCTCCACCAGCGCGACGGCCTGCTGCTGCGCCAGTGGGGTGCTCTGCACGCACTGCGCCAGCAGGGCCAGCACCTGGCGCCGCCCCTCGGCGGGCAGCGGCGCCAGCACCCTGCCGCCGGCCGCCCACTCCGCCACCCTGGTGCCATCCAGCAGCCCCGCGGAGCAGCAGTGTCCCGCCAGAAGCATGCCGTACCGCCACGCCGCCGGCATGGCGGCGGCGGCGGCGGCGGCAGCTGTGGCAGCGTCCGCATCGCCGCCATCGCCGCCCTGCCCGCCATCCAGCGCGGCGCCGCTGCCGCCGCGCTGCAGCGGCGGCGCCTGGCCCTGGCCGGGCGCGGCGGGCCGCGCGGGGCGCCCCGCTGCCGCTGCCACCGCTGGCTGCGCCGCCGCCGCCTCCAGGAACGCCAGCAGCTCTTCCGTCAGCTGCCTGCTGCGCTGCTGCGCCTCGCTGGCGCCGTCCCACCCCGCCGGCCTGCACACGCATGGGGTGGGTGGGTGGGTGGGTGGGGGCAGCAGCGTGGGGGCAGCTGGAGGGGACAGCAGGCAAGATGCGAGCGGAGGCAGGTGGGTGCAGGTGGGTGCAGCTGGGTGCAGGAGAGGCGGCAGGTCGAGCGGGCGGGCTGGCAGCGCACCTGGTCCTGTTGAGGGCGGTGACGCGGAGGAACCACAGCGCGCGCGGCAGCGGCGTCGCCAGCTCAGCCATCAGCTCAAACTGGCGGGTGCGCGGGAAGCCGTGCGGCACGGCGCCGCCCTCGCCGCCGCCGCCCCACCCCAGCGCGCGCAGCGGCGGCGCCCCCGCAGCCGCCAGCTGCTGCCGCGCCCACGCCTCTGCCGCCTCCTTGCCTGACGCGCCCCGGCTGGTCTGCAGCGGGAAGCGCGGCGGCGGCGGCAGCCCCGGGGGACCGCCGGCCGCCGCCGGCGCAGCCAGCTGCGCTGCTGCGCTGAGGGGTGCGTCGTAGAGCAGGTGCGCCTTGCGCTTGGCCTCCCGCTGGCGGGCTGGGCCCTGCAGCTGCTGGCGCAGCGACTGCACAAAGGGGCGGTGGCGGCAGCGCAGGAGTGAACGGGCAAAGGGGTGGGGGTGGCATGGCGCTCGTCATTGCATGGAACCAAGCGCGCAGGTAGCACTGCCAGCAAAGCCATCAACGCAAGTGCCCACAATCGCAGGCAGCAGCGGCACCCACCCTGCGCCAGTACGCCAGGCTGGCGGCGCTGTAAAAGGCGGGCGGCTGGTCGGTGAGGGTCAGGCCCAGCTCCCGCTGCGGCGTGAACCCCACCGACCCCGCCTCGCTGTGCCGGTAGCCGTGCAGCAGCGAATCCGGCGTCAGGGCATCCTCCGGGCAACCCTGGCAGGGGCAGGGGAAGGGCGGGTGAGGGGGCAGACGGGCGCAGGAAGAAGACCAGAGTTGGCGTCTGGCGGGGCGCGCCGTGCATGCCAGGGTGCAGCGGTGCTGCACAAGCACATCGACTGTGCAAGCAGAGCGCTGGGCGGCACAGGGCAAAAGGAAACAAGCCGCCAGCAGGCGGCAGCGGCGGCAGGTGCTCACCGGCAGGTGGGGAAACACATCCGGCAGCCCCAGCGATTCGCTGAGCGGCTGCAGCCCGCGCTGATTCATGTCTCCACGCAGAAACAGGAGCTTGGGCGCTTGCCTAGCATCGCTTTGCTCCGCCGTGCCTCCCTGGAAGCTGCTCAACGCACAATCAGGCGCCCACGATGCTAGAGGAAGGCACCAACAAGCACGCAACGAACACGCGGGCTCAGCGCAATGATCGACATGCGCTATCGATAATATGAGGCCACCCTCTCCTCACAGCCTTTCGTGCGCGACTCCAACAATCGAGGCAACTAAAATGCAAGAAGAGGAAGTGCAAGAAGGGTACAAGAAATCAAGCAGCTGGCCCAAAGGCCAGCGGCACAGCGGGCATGCCGGGTGCGGCACCGCTGACCCGCTACTGCTCCTGCTGTTGCAGCTGCTGCAGCACCTGCGGCGGGAGGAGCGGCCGCAGCTGGCTCAGCACCACGGCTGCCTTGTCTGGCGGAAGCTCGGTCAACGCCGCCAGCACCAGGCGGTAGACTGCCGCTGCGTCGTTCCCTGCTGCCGCCGCTGCCGCCTCGCCCGCTGCCGCCGCTGGGCTCCCCGGCTGAGCCTGCGACGCGGCGCTGGGGTGGTGCTGGAGGAGGGGGGGCAGCAGCACCGCCTGCACCGCCTGCGGCAGGTGCTGCTGAAGGCGGGCAATGACCTGGCTGATCCCGGCGTCTGATGCTGCGGCTGTGGCGGCCGCAGTCTGCTGTGCGGGCTCAGCTGCGCCCACCCCTGGGGACTGATCCATGGGCTCAGGCTGCTGCTGCTGCTGCTGCTGCGGGTGGTGGGCGGATGCCGGGGCCACATCCATGCTGGTGGGCCCGCCTGCTGCTGCTGCTGCTGCCGCCGCCGGGGCCGTGCCATTCGGGGCCTCCCCGGCCGACAATGGCGGCGTCAACTGCTGCTGCAGCTGCTGCAGCTGCTGCCCCGGCGCCGGCGGCCCGCCGGCCGCCTGCGGGCTGCCATTGGCGCCAGCACCTCCCATGCCGTCATCGACGTCTGCCAGCGCAGACTCAACAAACTGGGCAGCTGAGGCGGCCTCGGCGGCGCTGATGGCGGGCGGCCCTGCGGCCGCCGCCGAGGCGGGCGCCACATCCACCTGCATCGCCTCTGCTGCAGTCGCCGCCGCCGCGGCTGTGGCAGTGGCCGCCGCCGCGTGCGGCTCGCCGCCATCCATGGCCTCCAGCGGCGGCGGGCGGTCCTCTAGACCGTTGGGCAGCCCGCCCAGCCTGCCGTGCTGCTGCTGCTGCTGCTGCTGCTGCAGGTGCTGCTGCTGCGCTGCCGCCATGGCCGCCGCCTGCTGCTGCAGCAGCGCCTGGTGCTGCTGCTGATCCAGCACCTGCGGGCAAAGCACGCACAGCGCGGGGCGGCGGTGAGCAGGAGCGGCGGCGGGCTGGAAGAGGCAGCCTTGCTGCCAGATGGCATCGACGCTGAACCCTGCGTGCCCCACTAGCAGCCGTGCCGGCCAGCGGTCGCCGGCTCCAAAGCTGAGTTGTAGGCCTGCCCCCCCACCACACACACACACACGCACGTACACACCTGGGGCGGGCGTCCATCGATGTAGGGCGAGGGCGGGTTGTTGTTGACCCCCGTCAGGGACGCCAGCGCCGGCGGAGGCGGCAGCAGGGCGGCGGCGTCAGCCAGCCGTGTGCTGGTCACCATCAGCAGCTTCTCTACGGCCAGCACCTGCGGCAGCAGGAGCGGGAGCTGCGGGGTGGGCGCTGGCGCCCGACAGGATGGCGGGACAGCCGTCCGCGGCTCCTCCCGCCACCGATGCCGAGTTCCGATGCTGAGTGTGCATCCCGCGTCCGGCCACTCGGCTCCGACACCCCCAACACGTCGCCACTCGGCCAGCCCCCGTAGAGCCCCCGCTCACCCATTTCTCCAGCCGCCCATACTGCTTGCGCGGCTCCAGCAGCACTTCGCACAGCCGCTGCAGGGTGAAGGGCGCCTCCTCGAACCCCTCCAGCAGGGTGTGCAGCCGGGCGGCCAGCGCAGCGGGCGAGTCGAAGCCGGGCGGCAGCGGCCGCTGCGGCCCCACCTGCGGGCGTGACAGCATGGGCATGGGGGAGATGAGGGAGGGGCCATGGCATGGCACATGCGCAGGAACTGCAGCGGCAGCGGCGGCAGCGGCAGCCCACTGCTGCATAGCTGCGCGTCGTGCTTTATGTTGATGATGGCTGGTTGCTGGCATGCAGGGGCCCGCCAGGCCCCACCGCCACCCCTGCCTGCACCCACCTCTGCCTGCTCCTGCTGGTTGTAGTCTGCCAGCACCGAGTCCACCATGCTGTGCAGCAGCGGCAGCAGCAGTCGCCACTCGTAGCGCTGCCTCCCTGTAAGCGCAGTCTCGGCCAGCACGCCGCGGCAGGCAGCGTCCAGCGGCAGCCGCTGTGCCGCCGCCGGCAGGCTGCAGGGACGAGGGCGGGCGGGCGGCAGCTGCATCAGAACGCATGGAGGGCCCCATTCCCAGCACCCAGGGGCCCCTGGCTGCCCAGAAGCCCAAGCAGGGGCCGACAGACTGCGTGGGCACCCCCGATCCCGCCGCCTCGCACCCAGCAATGCAGCACGAGCAGTCCGCACACCTGCAAAGCGCTTCCAGCCTATCTGGGCCAGCTATTAAGCAGCCCTCCTCGTCCTGGTTGGCAGCACCGCCAGCGGCGTGGTTGCCGTCGGGCGCCGGCGGGTGCTCCATCACCATCTGCACCGCTGCTACCCTCCCGAGCAGCGCTGCCGCGGGGGAGAGCAATTGCGGGGAGCCAAGAGATGGATGCAGGTGCTGAGGGCCTGGGGCGGTGGGCGACGACAGGCCCGAGTTTGGGGAGAAACAGCGATCGATGCCCACCCTCACAAGCTCCACCCCCACCGCTGCCCAGCACGCAGCATACTTGGACTTCAAATGGGGCTCGCGCCGCTCGGATGCCGGGTTTCATCACAGCTAATTTACAGGCCAGGGACTCCCGATCGTCCGTCCTCCCGTAATGGCCGACGTCCGCAGCCTGCTGCAGCGGTGCGGCGTGGACCAGAAGCAGCGGGCTGCCGTGGAGGCAAAGGCCAACGAGTATGCGCGCATAAGCACGGCGCGGATGGGCGTGGGAGCGCTGGGCCAGGTGCTCGGCTCCCTGCCCAAACGCTGCAGCTGCTGCCGCCTGCTGCCGGCTGGTGGCAGCCGCGGCGCCAGCCGGGGGTGCTGTTGCCCCGTGTTTGGTGCACCGCATTGGCAAGCCAAACACCAGCGGTGTCCACACACGCGTGGTACAAGCTTCAGGGAGTGCCTTCATGGCCGTGTTGCAAGCTGCCAGCAGCCGCCACCCCAGCGCCCACACTTGGCCACGCCTCTGCCACCGCCTCACCGGCACGTGCTGCTCTGCCTGTCGCCTGCACCGCCGACCCCGCCTGCAGGGCGAGCTGTGCAAGGGGGCGGCGTGCATGGAGCTGGCGTGCATGACGCTGGGGGTGGCGGTGGATGCGGCACAGGTGGCGCGGTTCAGCGGCGTGGGTGAGCGCGTGTATCGCAACGCCAAGGCCGCGCTGCAAAAGGTGCTGGGCGTCACCAGCAAGACCACAGCCCGCGAGCTGTGCGTCCAGGTGGGTTTCCGCCCCGGGAGGTGGCTGGGCTGTAGGGGTGAGCAAGCCCCGCACTTGCCGCCTCGAGAAGCGGCACACCGACCGCCGCACTCCGCTCCGCTGCCCTCCTCCTTGCGCATCCCCCCGCGCCCCCCGCAGTTTGGCTGCGCGGGCCACGAGCCGGCCGTGAGGGCGGCGCTGGCGGCGTACAAGGACCGCTTTGTGCGCTCGCTGCCCGCGGCGCAGCAGCGGCACGTCGACTTTGGGCGCCCCGTCTTCCTGGCAGCTGCCTTCTACCTGGTGGCGCGCAAGAAGAAAGTGGCGGTGAGGGCCGCGGGGGGTGGGGTGGGGGGTCTGGTGCAGGTGCCCCCACCTGGGCCTGCTCTCGTGCCCGTCTGCCTCCCGCCCAGGCTTCACTGCCGCTCCCTCGCCCACGCCTTTGCCCGCGCCATGCGGGGCATCGCGCACCCTGCACGGTGCCCCGGCACAGCACCTCACCACCGACCGCCCCGCTGCCCCCGCCTGTCGCCGCCGCCCCCGCCCCCCTCCCCCAGGTGGACCGTGTGAAGCTGCTGGACCCTCTTGGGGTCACCGCCGCCGAGCTGGCCCAGGCGTGCGCCTCCATGGCCAACCTGTGCCACGACCTGGTGGGCTGCGAGCCGCGCAAGCGCAGGGCGGAGGAGCTGCCCGCGCAGCAGCGGGCGCTCATCGACCGCACGGGGTGGGTGGCAGAGGGGCGCGCGGGGCGGGGCGGGGCGGGGCGGGGTGGGGCGGGGCGGGTTGGTGGCTGCGCAGGGCGGTGTGTGGAGGCAGCGGCGAGCATGGGAGGCGGCGCTGTGGGGTTTGCGAGAGGCGGCCAGTCCCGTGGTGGCGCAAGTGCCTGGTCACCTCCCTCCCGCCGCGCCCCGCCCCGCTGCAGCGCTGCCAGCGACGGCGATGAGGCCAGCAGCAGCGAGGATGAGGTGGAGGACGACGGGCAAGTGGGATACCGCATCAACGCCAAGAAGCAGCGCCAGCGGGTGAGCCCAGCCAGGGGCGCCGCAGGCGCGGGCAGCGAGGGTTGTTGGGGGGGTGCGCTGGAGCGCTCGCCTCGCCTCCGTGCAGCGCTGAACAGTGGCAGTCGGTCGCTGCTGCTATAGGGCCTCGTTCCGCTGCCGCGCCTCACCCGGCTGCTGGCTGCTGCAGGAGTATGATGACTGGAAGCAAAAGGTGCTGACCAAGCCCCAGCCCGGCACCAGCACCGGCGGCGGCGCCAGCAGCAGCAGTGCAGCAGCAGATGCGCCAGGTGCAGCTGCTGCTGCTGCTGGCGGCGGCGGCGGCGGTAGGAAGCAGAAGCTGACCGAGAAGAAGCTGCGGCAGGCGGTGCTGAGCTTTGCAGCAGCAGCAGGGGCCGCCGCCGCTGCAGAAGCCTCCCCCAACGGAGGGACGGGCGAACCTGCCGCGGCGGCACCCGAGCAGCAGGCGGCAGCAGGCGGCGCCGACAAGGGCAAGGCGGCCAAGCAGGGCGGGAGCGGGCAGGCATCGCGCAAAGCGCCGCTGGCCAGCAGGAACAGCTGACCCTGCGCCGCCCAGCCTCCCAGCAGGCTAGGCTGACCCCGCTGTTTCCAGCGCTCCTGTGCTTGTAATGTTGGGCATTACATCCACCCCGCAGAAGCAGCTGCAGCACCAGTCAGCCCAACCTAAATCAGTCAGTTTGCTGCTGCTGGCTCGCTGCGTCCCAGCGCCGCCAGCACGCCGCCACCTGCTGCCGCCGGGTCCGCTGCCGCCAGCAGCAGCCGCTTGCCCAGCTGGCGCCAGTCTGCGGGGTCCCCAGCCTGGGTGCCGCCTGCCTGCAGCGCGCTGACGGAGCCGGGTGGGGGGGGGCCGGAGCCTGCGGGCAGCGGCGCGCCCGCCGCCGCCAGGAGCTGCTCGACGCCTCGAGGCGAGCACACCAGCAGCAGCACCTCCCGCTCCTGCAGCGGGGCCCCCAGGCCCGCATCCAGCTCCACCCGCCAGTTCTGCTGCAACAGCTCCTGCCACACCGCCTCCGCCGCTGCCGCCGCCGCCGCCGCCGCGTCCTCGCCGCCGCCGGCCTCGTCCAGGGCGGCCCGGGTGCGGACTTTGAGGAAGTAGGGGGCGCGGTCCCGCCCGCTCCACAGCTGCTGAGCAAAGGGCAGGGCCTGCGCCGCCGGGGAGGACCAACAGCACCTGTGAGGCGGGCCAGCTGAGGAGTGGAAACGGCGGGGGCGGAGTGTGGCACACACCTCGCCAACCCGGATTCCGTCGCTGCTGACCCCTGCGTGCACGCCACCCACCGCCGCAGCACCCACCTGCTGGCTGGAGAAGGCGTGGTTGATGGCCAGCGGCTGCAGGCAGGCCCGCAGGGCATCCACCTGGCCGCCGCCGCCGCCGGCTGCCGCCGCGTGCGGCGCCGCCACCAGCAGCACGCACTTCTCCCGCATGGCATCGGTCATCGCATCAAACTCCTCCTCATCCTCGTACCTGCACCCGTACTGATCAGTTAACAGGTGCAGCAGGTGCGAGGGAGAGGCAGCTGTGCTGCCTGCTCACCAAAACTCGCTGGTGGCCACCACCCGCCGGCCCGCCTGTGGCGGCGGCCGCCTGTGCCCGCGGCGGCACGCCGCACGCCCGGCAGCTGCTGATCGCGCCGCCCACATCCAGCGGCCCGCGGGCTTGAAGCTGAGAGGGGGCCTGCCAGGCCTGGCGCCTTGGCATGTTGGAGAGGGCAGCGACATATTGCAGACAGAGGCAGCTCTAGGATAGGTGGATTGAGCAGCGAGAATCGAGAGCGGCGAGAATCGAGAGCGGCCTCCCCGATGATGTTGATGGCGCCGCGCTGCGCTACCACAGCAGGGAGTGAGGCGGAGCGAGTCA